AAAAAAAAAAAAAAAAAAAGAACTCAGTTCATATTATATAACGGGTTTCATAGTTTAACCTCTTCTTTGGTCTTGGGTATTGTAATGAATCGATGAATGAAAAAAGAAAAAAAAGAAAAACGGAGGACTTGATATTGTTGATCCATTCGGAATTAAATGTTTAAGGGAGTAGGGTGCTTGGTTGTCTTAGCTTATTAAGTTTAGGGTTGAAGAACTTCAGTCTATGTTACTGTTGTTTGTGTCTTGACTTCGCAAACGAATGGCTTTGTGAAGTCTGTCTATCTAATGTATATGTTTGGATTGTGCAAAGAAGTGAGTTTGTTAATATTGAAGTTCTGTAAGTTATGCTTGGCAGGGTGGTTTTGAGATTTGAAAAAGTTAATTTGAAAATCTATTTGTTTATTATTTGGCACGTAAAAATGTAAAATTTAAATAAATTGCATGAAATGTTTCTTAACATTTTGCTTGATAGGTTAGTGGGTAACATTATCCAGAGTGAAGGAAGTACTTTTGTAGTATCACTGACAGTTATCAAGCTCATCTCATCCCGGAGGATTAAAAAATTGTGAGGTGGGGGAAGAGTGAGCATTAGAGGGGAAGGAAGAAGGTCTTTCCCAATCTGTCTTGGGGTATTTTGTAGTAAAACCATGGATTAGTTCAATGGTATTGAACTTGTATAAAGTTGTAAAATGGGTGGACAGGCTTCCAGCTCAAGAGATTGGGGTTCTTACCAAAATCTGAATATGGAGGTTCAAACTTGTTTGAACTAATGTACTTTATTTTTAAGTTCTATTTAGGTATGATATCTTAGCTAAACTGTACAAAATAATTGGACGAGTATGGAAAAGTGTGTCTATTTTTGGATGATTCTTACGTGTATATTTTTTTTTTTGTTGATTTGCCAGACAAGAAAGAGCATTCTAAGCTGCTTCAACTGCTGCGTGAAAGCCTGAATTGAGTAGTCTTGAAGAGCCCACTTGTAAGTTGAAATGTCATTGTATTTATTGCTTTGGTACGATTACCTTCACTGCCCTTTATTTGAATTAGAACAAATGTATTATATGTTTGGATTTTGTAACATGGCTTTGTTCTGGACTGTGGCTGCTACTGTCTCATTAATTCCTCCTTGAATTAAAATAACTTTACAAGTGCCTCAAAAGTGTTCTTTAAGTCAAAAAGAAAATATGTTTAAGTAATTAGAAATTCCTTTCAAATCGTCCATAGATTAATTAAAAAAAAAAAAGGTAGGCACAATGTAAATATTAGTATTGGCTTTTGGTGATTTGGCTCGATGCCTTAAACAGGGAGAAAAAAAGTAACGAAAGAAAACTAGCCTCACAAGTCTGCAATAATCGTCACTTACATGTTAAGAAGCTATAGATAAAGTATCTGAGATAACATTCTCTAGTATAAACAGAAAAGTTGATTAAGACATAAAATGTAAAATTGAAGTGCTTAGTTCTACGATTATAAAGAACAGGTGAAAATATATGCATGACTTCCAATTGCCATTTAAAAAATATCATTATTATTCAATATTTGACCAGTTTCTTGTAGGGTAGTTAATTAAGAGTTACCAATTTTGATATGAAATTCATTTGGAATCAACAAAAGTTGGGGCGAGATTAGATGAGTTTTTGTTAAGAATCAAAACTATTTATTGGTATGATATTGTGCACTTTGAGCACAACTTCTCATGGTTTTAAAGGCTTAATTACAAAAGACCTTCAACAAATGGAAATAGTTTTTTCACTTATAAACTTATGATCTTTCATTAAATCAAGGAACTCATAGTCATTTTTCGATAATCTTCAATTGTGTTCTTGTTCCATAATGATGTGAATATATAAATAAATGAAAAAAAAAAGTTTTTAATTTTGTTTTTTTGGTGTGGAGTGGAAAAAAGTGGAAAACTTGGGAGGCGGCCCGGCGGTGGTAGGTGTGATGGAGATACGGACCAAACAAAAAAGTGGTCCGCCACGTGTCAGTCATGCATTAGAAGCTAGTTTCACAAAGTGCAGAAACCTAATCCCGAGAAGCCAACTGGGCGACCTAACAACCCCACACGCAATATTTCCGACGTATCCACAAAACTGTCACATCATTAACAGTCATTTCTCTTTTTCTTCTTCTTTTTTAAAATATAAATCCAAACAAAACAATTTATTATTTAAAGTCGGTAAATTTGTAATATATATATATATATAGTGTCTATTTCATTATTTTAAAATCATTAATTTGAGCATAGAAATTTATTTAATTTCATAGATTAGGGTAAACAAATTTATTTATTTATTTAATTTTGTTTTGAGGAGGCTATTATTATAGCGCGCACCAAAATGGATTCTGCTTTATCACTCAAGCTTCTCATCCTCCGAGATACGCACATATATATATATATATATATATATGCTTCGATTCGCTCTGGCTTCTGATTCCAGCTATTTGGATTCCTTCTTACGTTCTTAATCCTGTTTCTTTCCGCTGTCTCCTTCTGATTCTGCCGTGTTACGCGACGTTGATTGGATTTCGGGATTCGATTCTTTTCACTCCCCAATTGCATCGTTCTTCAGCCGCGATCGTTCAACTTCTACTCTGCCTACGAGTTTCTTTTGGTCTGAAACAAGCAGGAACTGTTTTCCTGGTTATTTTCTTGCTTTCTCACCGTTTGATGCTTCTGTTATTGCCGTTGATTTGATTCTGATGATTCTTTCGATTTTTTTCCCCTCCGTATCCCTCTTTTCTCGTCTATTTCTTCGCGTGATCTTTATTCAAGCATTCAGGTCGTGTGTGGTGATCTCTGACTTCAAAGATTAATCAAGTTAGCTGAGTAACAGAGGTGCTTTGGCGGGACTATGGAGGCCAACTTAGGACATTTGCAGTATCTATCAATCCGGATTGATTCCGGAATGTTTGTGACGAAACCGAGTGGTTCGGTCCGATTTCTTCAGCCAATTTCTGATCAGCACAAGCCTCTACCTCTGGTTTCAGCTTTTCAGCAACCTCTGAGACTTCCGAATCGCTGCAGGACGGTGTCTTTTGGGGCCTCCTGCTATCGTGAGAATATTTCAGGTAACATTGGACTTCCAGTGTGATTAGAAAAGTGCGTTTTTCTTCGTCGTTCATCCTCATGTCTTCCTTTCGTAAGGACTATGAATTTTATTTTATTTTTTGGTTTGGTGAATTCCTTTGCATTCTTTTTCGGTCCTAAATTAATTTCCATTTCTCTGAAGAATCAAATATTATGAAAGCAGGAACTACGCAGTATGATCGAGTAATTTGCTGAAGCAGTCTAATTCTACATCTATGGCGTTTTGCTATTTTGAGTTTTTCTGAAATTTTAAACAGAACCCTTTTTTACATTCTTAAAACGTCAACATTTTTTCACATTATCTTTCGTATGATACCATTAGTGATTTTGTTGCCATTAGAAAGGCTAATAGTCCCAGTTTAAAACATGACTTTTGTTTTATTATTTTGTTGTTGTTCTTGTCTACAGCTTGCGAGTAACCAATTGATCTTTGGCTTATTGCTTTCAATGCTCCTTTTGTAGGGCTGACATTGGAAACTGAAAACTTTCATCCTTTCGACGAAGATCTCCTTCTGAAGGTCAAGCAGAATTTTTGTTGCATGTTTACATCAACCTTAATTAGAGTTGTTGTGACGTGGGATATGTGATTTTCTTTCTAATTCATGTTAAGCTAAACTAGAATTTGAAAAAAAAAAAAATAATAAGTGCAGAACAAGTCACATGAGGTCCAGCCCCATCTAAATGGACGATGCATATATCTAGTTGGTTAGTGTGTGTTCTTTTTTACACTTTATAATTGGCAATTCTTCTGCTTAGATACTAATCTATCAGAATGCTACTTTGCAGGAATGATGGGTTCTGGAAAGACGACCATAGGCAAGATTTTGGCGAAAGAATTGAGTTACACATTTTCTGACAGGTTTGCGTTATTTAATTGCTAGCTAGCACAGGATTTTGATTTGAATTTTTACAAACAAGGAAATAAAGAACATATTGGAAGAAAAATTAATGCCTAATTTCCTTAACATCACGTCACTATTCCAGCATCGAAGGTCTATTCAAAGCTGAACTGGATGGAAGAACAGTTTTGAAGTGATATTACATGCAATCTATGATTTTTACTATGCTTTCTGACAGAAAATTATGGCATTCGTAATTTGCATCCATTTTTTAGCACAAGTATGTTAATGCAAGTTACTTGCTTTTGTATTAATTATGCATTACATATCTGGATCAGTGATACATTGGTGGAGCAAGAAGTTGGTGGAACTTCAGTGGCAGAAATTTTCAAGCTTCATGGCGAAGGCTTTTTCAGAGATAAGGAGGTTAGTTAACCTGCAATTTGACCATCCTTCGCATCTGTGAAGAGGACGGTTATTACTATCTACTGTATTTGATGTTTTTATGAACCGAGTGTAATGTGGGAAGCACAATGCTACCATGATAATTTTCATTGAAGTGAATATTTTAATTTTCTTAAGATGTTGGAAGGGGCAAATGTCAGCAATGTGATTTTCCTTCTGCTTTTATAGAAATTGAAAGGGATCTGGATTTATTATTGGGGATATCCAAAAAGCCTGATGAATTTTTTCAATTAGGTTGTTACTATTGCTATGGTTTTAAGCAGCTAAGTAAAATGTTTTGCAACTCTAAGCTGTTATAGCCGATCAAAGTTAGTGACAGTGATTTTTCTGTTAGACTGAGGTATTGAGAAAACTATCATTGATGCACGGGTTTGTTATTTCCACTGGTGGAGGTATTGTTGTTCGGCCTATTAACTGGTAATTTGTTTGGACACTCACACTTTCTAATTGTTATTTGGTTCTCTGTTTTTTTTTTTTGTTAAGTGAGACTCGTCCTATTTGATTGTAGGAAATATATGCAGAAGGGGATTAGCATCTGGCTAGATGTGCCGCTGGAAGCCTTGGCAAAAAGAATTGCTGCAGTGGGTACCGACTCTCGCCCCCTCTTGCACCATGAGTCAGGCAATGCCTACACAAAGGTGGTGAATCATTCTCTGTGAGGGAAACATTTATCCATAAACTATTTACTTTTCTTTATCAAGGGTTTTAGGGATGTTGCTTTTTGGTGTCGAACTCGTGATGCTTGATCCTAGCACATCTTTTAATCTGCTGATTCTCATTCAGGCTTTCAGGCGATTGTCAATTCTTCAGGAGGAGAGGGGTGATGCATATACCAACGCCAATGCCAAAGTTTGTCTAGGAAGTATGAAATAAATAAATCTTGATACTCCTTTGTCATTCTGGAAATATAGAAGTAACAAACTTCGCGTTGGAATCCATAAAGCTACAGCGTTTGTTTATTGTTCCTGTATCTTCTGTGTTAAGGAGGTGACTAAAACTTAAAATCAAGTTGTTTTTGTTAACTTGCAGGTCTTGCAGCCAAGCTGGGGTTATCAGATGTATGTAATCTGACGCCTGCAGATATTGCTTTAGAGGTTCCTCTCTTTCAGCCTCATCTTTGTTCTTGCTATGTTTGATTAAAAAATCTGACCTTTCAATAAAGAGAGGACCTTCTATATTAAAAAATGCTTGAGTTTTAAGTGTATTCTTTCCAGGCGCTTGTACAAATTCAAACATTCCTAGAACAGGAAGATGGTTATTCTACTAGTTAAGACTGCAAATGTTCAATGTCCAGAGCTTTAAGCCTCTCAAGCATGGAAGAAAGCTTGCTTCGACTCCTGGCAATTGTATAATATGGTGGGTGGTAAGTACTTCTTTGAACTTGATGATCTATGTCAATGTTAGTAAGTGTATCTCTCTGTAAATTTTGTGGTCGATAAAACTTGTGTGTACATGCACATAGTATGTATGACTATTGCATTATTTGTAGATTGTTGTTTGATTATCATCATATTTCTGTATGCATGTATAATATTCCATTGCATCTGAAATAAGCATCATTGTTTGATCACCATTTTATTTTTGTATGTTTGTGTGGTCCATTGCGTTTGAAATATAACATCTTGTTGGCAATTTTGTTTTTATTGTATTAAGAAAGTGTCTTTTAATCGTATGCATGTAGATTTCTTTTGGAATTGAAAAATTGAAACATTTATCAAATTTTGTCATTCTTTATGTCATAAAGAACAAATTCATGAACTTATGAAGGTTAGAAATGCAACATTTCTTAATGGGTTAGCCATGAATTGAGATCCTCATCTACCAACGTAAATGGGTACCTACCAGCTGAAATATGATATCTGATGACAAAATGGGGGCAGCTCGACAATTCTACTGGCTGGGCCTTTCATTTAGTTTGCCCGCTACCAATATGCATAGACATCGATTATTGAGTTATGTTATGTGTTATGTCCCCCTTCCCTCTCGATGTTAGTCTTAACTCTGACAAAGTATTCATACCTCGGTTCTGCACATTCTCTCTTCAATGTAGAAGTCGGTCGGGTTAGTTTTTCTTTAGCATTGTTTGATAATAATAATCCCTATCAACTCTAAACCATTTTTCAGATTTATCAAAAAATAAATAAATAAAATAAAACGAAATGAAATTCAAAGATCTCAATAAGTATTTTTAATTTGTTTTTTAAAGTGAAATAATTCTGGTTGATTAAAATATTTTTTCAAAAAATTCTAAGAACATTCTTGGAATTCTTAAATTGAAACCTTACATCTAAACACGACCATGCAAACAAATCTCTCGTGATTAATTTTTTTAATTCAACAACATATGGAATTAAAACTTTTGACCTAAAATAAGTTTTCTTTGTTGTATTACTATAATATCATATTCACAATCACAGCCAACAAATTAAAATAAACAAAAACGACAATTATATAATATACTCTCTATATCTGGTGGTGTCCATTGCATGATCTCCTACACATTTTCCCTACATACCAAAATATTTGTATTACTAAATTTTATGCATTAAAACCCATCTTTACTAAATTTTATCTAATCAAGTGACACTTCTTCAATCATGAAACTTCAACTATTTCCGATTCTGGTCACTTGATCAGAGAAAATCCTTCATATGAAGCTATAAATTCATATACTTACACTGTACTATATATATATATATGCATACTTACATATCTTTGATTCCGCCGGAGCATTCAATTGTCATCGTACAAGTCACTGGGATCGTTTTCGTAGAAAAGGCCGTCGACGATCTGGTCAATAAGCGAATCAATGAAGGTGTTGCAGCTAATGCTGAAGATTCGACCTACTCTGTTTCGGGCGTTGGAGGAGAATGCAAAAATGGTTGCCAGAGTAACAGCTCCCAAACAAACTCCTGCTGCTTCCTCAATCCCCTCCAAATCCATCTTCCTGAATACTGAATTTCCCGTCACCACCTCCATTGTTACGGTCGCCGCAAACACAATCTGCAAACAATTGGAGTCTGAGAAGACATTGCCTCGCGCATAAGTAATTTTAGGTATTTTATTTGACGAATTTTACAATGCTTTTATCACCGCGTAATTAATCAACAACTTCGACGTATTTCATTGGCTAGATCAAAAATACTATTCACAGCGACTACCAAAACCTCTACGGAAGCGTCTGCTAATTTAGGGTTGGATCATGAGTTTAAAATTAAGAAATATAATCTCTATTGGTGCAGAATACTTTTGGAGAAGCATCTGCTAATTTAGGGATTGATTATAAATTTAAAATCAAGAAATATAATCTCTATTGATAAGAGCTAATTTAGGGATTGATTATAAATTTAAAATCAAGAAATATAATCTCTATTGATAAGAGTCCTGCCTAAAGTAAACCACCAATCTTATGTCAGAGTGAATAATACAAATATAATATGATTGTGTAGATCCTAATTTTAAACCCCACCTTACTTCTATTTAGCTATTTCTAATTTTTATTTTATTTTATTTGAAGTATATGAAAATGAAGTATGATTACGAGATGAAACAGGAAACTCACCATGGCGAGGCGGCCGGAGATGATCTCGAACTCATGGCTATCCTTCGAACTCTCTATGTACTCAGACAGAGTCGCGAAGAACCGAGAAACGTCGTCGTCGTCTGAAGCATCTCCAGCGGCTACTCTCTTAGCCTTAATAGGAACAACCGGATCGGATCCAAAGGATCTCAAAGTGCACAAACGAGGCTGTAGAAGGATCTTCGGGGTATCCGAATCGGCGGACTTAAGTTTCGGAAGCGAAATGGAAGCGGGAGGCGATCTTGGCGGGACGTCGGGCAAGGAGGAGCGCAACTGGCAGTGAACAGAGCGTGGCGAGGCAGCCATGTGGAAGAGGCTGTGCGGAGTGCGATTGAGGATGGGAGAGAATGGAAGAATGAGCAGTGGAAAAGAAGAATCTGAGAATGGTGGATTTAGAGTACACGTTGGAGGTGATGGGAGGATGGGACGTGGAGCCTTTTTTGTACGCTCACGCAATTTTCAGCTAGGTGAGGTGAGGCACCCTGCCCTCCTCTCCCACAAATTATTACACAAAACCGCCCTTTTTATACAAATTTGAAAAACACCGTTAACTATTTCCAATTTCGATCCAGTAATTAATAGAATCGGTAAATTTTGAAAAAAATATATATATATATATATTCAAAATTTTTAATTAAATTTGAATAAATTGTTCTTTTATGCTGGGTTTGATAATAAAAAAACTCTACTCGATTTCTTATAATTTCTTGGTCATAATTTTTATAAAACAATAATAAAATTTTTAAAAATGAATCTTTTTTTAAAACATTGTTTTGATTTGTAAACACTCTAAAAAAAGTAAACAACAACAAATAAATAAGTAGTTTTTGTGAACTCATACCTAGAAACAAACCATTAAAAAATAAATGATTATCGACCAAAATTTTGAATTGTCTTTTTCTCTCCATAAATTTTAACTAAGATATGCTTTGATTGACGAGTTAAACAAAACACTAACTATCGTTTCAACGATTGATAATCTGATCACCACCTCGCTACTTCTCATCCTCTCAATCACTTGTGCTTTCCCAACTACTATGGGGATTTCATATGCCGTAAAAGATCAAATTCTTTAATTCTTTACTTCAACAGAGGTCTTATAGAAGAGAATTGACATTACTGAACTTATATAGTGACCTTCTTCTAATTCTAAGTTGCTAGAGCTATAGGGGTAGATGGATCTAAACTCAGTCAAGTTTAAGACACCCGATGCTATCACAAGCTAAAACCTTGAGATCAATTCTTTTAGGAAAATCATGAACTTGTCAACTCAAAATCATGAAAGGAAATTACTTACAGCCATCAAAATTTAAGTTTGCTCCCACTGATATCTTCAACTTTGTACTCTACTTCTTCTTACCTCGTTTGCTAAAATGATTCAAGGCGAGCCGAGAGAACCTTGTGAGGGAGAGAAATAATTGAAAGATGGAACGGCCTTTCACAATCCCCCCCTTGATGTCTCTTGCCCGTTTAGCCAGAACCGGCTCTGCTGCCTCCACCACTCCCAGATTGGCTACTGTCATTTCCTGCACTTTGGCTAATCAAGTAAAAACGAATTCATTGCTCAACATTCAATAATACCCTCCTCCCTTTTGTTCAAATAAGAGGCAAAGAAATCGTAAGGGAACCTGTTGGAGTCATGTTTGTCAAGCTACGCAATCTCTCTTCTGCTACTCGAACAGCTCTAGTGGAACTTCTCACACCTTGGGTGATATCCTGGCTGCAAAGGATGCCACAAATCAGCCTTGTGTCTTGTTCTTTGCAACATATGCAAATAGTTAGTTACTGGGTAAACAAAAGAATTCAAAATCTGATGTCAAACCCAAGATCACTGAGCTCCATGGTCAGATCACTAATTTCCATGCCAGATAACCGAATGGCTGCCATAGTGCCTGGAAGTTCCTCCCTTGTGACATCCATGAGCTTCTCTAATGATTCGGCTGCTCTCTTGAATGCCTTCGACATGAAAACATTGGGGGCAACAGGTTATCAGTTTGAAGAATTGGAAGAATCTCATATGGGTGCTAAGACACAGGAAATATAGCCATGCCCATATGATGCATCACTTTAAATTGACAACATTCGTCGTGATCAAAGTTGGAGAATACAAACCAGGAGAGTGGGAATTGCAGAACAAAAGAGCCAGGTTGCAGCAATAGCCGTCTACAAAGATGTGAAAATGCGTAGTTATCAGCTAAACCATATTGCCACACTTCCCAATCACCAAGAAAAGTACAAGCCAAAAAAGATTTCAACTGCTTTACACAGAAGTCCAAACGTCGAATTACTCACAGTAATAACTACGAATTTTAGCAGAATTTCGGCCTCATTTGAACTAAAAGGCCCCAATATCAGACAACAAGCGTTGCAAGTTAGAAAAAAACCGACAAAATAACGTAATTGCTCGCATATTTCCAACTATTAGCGCCGAAAATACGTAAATAGAAATTCTCAAGTATGTCAATTGCGTCAAAAGGGAAAGCAATCGCAAATTTTGGAGGGACGGGGGAAAGGTGTAGGTTGTGTTGCTAGGAATGACACATTGCACATGCTTTCAATAACATTCAACACGTAAACCAAATCTATTAGACTAAGCGCATCCAAACAAGCCCTTACGAACTCAGATTCTCAGTGAAAGAAATTAAAAGAGGTCGGATTACCGCGCAGGCAACGACATTAAGAACAAGGACGTGGCGTTGAGTTAGTGTGCACTGAGAGAATTGAACATATGCCGGAGAAGAATGTCCAATAGTTTCCGTATAACGCAATGAAGTCGATGGATCAGACGGCGATGACGATAGCGATTGTGCTCGCACAGAAAGCAAAGAAAGTCGACGATTCGGTAGCCTGAGATTGTAAGGTTGGGGTCGGCGAAGTTTAACGTCACTTGGCCGTGCGTGAACGAGACTATGCTTCGCCGCCGGGCACGGCGGCGATAGTTCCAAAGCTCGGAACATTGCTTCGACCGTTCTAGTGCTGCAAAGCGATCTCCGATCTCGGAAATTGGGGCATAGCCGAGAGGATGTGAAGATTTTGGGCCTGCTAAGAGACCGCCTTCTTGTAGCCCTAAAGGCCCAGAGTCGAAATATCTACAAATAAAAGCTAATTTTAGTCCATAAATGTTTTTTTTTTTTTTTCAATTAAAAGCCCAACTCATCTTGTGGCACTCATAAGTATTTGAACTTTATAAATATGTAAAATAATATATTATGTTTGAAAGATTAGATTTTCATCACTCTGTCTTGGTTGAATATCAAAAAGTCAAACACAAACCGATCGAACTGAAGGCATGTGCATCTGCACGTGAATGCTCGATAGGATAAAGTTATCTTGACAAGCTCCAAATATCAACCCACCAAATACCCATTCAACTATGAATCTAAGACGTGTTTGAAAGAACTTTTTAAGTGCTTCGAAAACAAATTTATACATCAATACCTTTTTAAAACATTCAAAAGAAACATTGAAACGAAACTCTTAATCTTTCCAAACGATTCAACTCACGACCTTATCTCACGTCTCTTGAATCATACCATTCAATAAATTTTCATCAAAGAGATCTATAAGTACATAACGTTCAAGGAGATTAAACATCTCAAGCAAAAGACCAAATTCTAAGGGATCTTACCCCTCATTTTTTGGGCAAACCTTATGCTACTAAACAATCCAGACGCCAGCCTTGTAATCTTATTCCTAAACTTAAAAATACACACTTCTACACATCTTACGCAGTTGCTTGTAATCCAAAAGTAGGGCAAAAAAGATCTCAACAAGCTACAAAATGTATTCACTAGTTAAAGAGAGGGAGCTGCAATCATTTTCCATCAGGAACCAATGCCAATGTTCCCTCTCAAATGGCCACTGGTTACTCCAAAATGCAGGATATAAAGCTAAATAATCAGAAGCATATATATCTCTAAATTCACTTCAATAATCATTAAAACATGAGTTCCCTATTCACAAGGAATTATTTTGCACTCACCATAATATGGTGCACGAAGAAAGCTTTTGCTAACGAAACATATTTACACTGAGATCTGAAAGAAAACTCACTTGTATTTATCCCACACTCTTATTGGCCAACTCTTCAAGAGGCACACTTGCCTTGTTTCTCTGCCCACAATACTTCCTTTATTGGATCTATCTTTCTCCTGGAGACATATAACTTCATAACTTCTAGCTCTAGCTTGAAGTTGATGACAGTTACTTTACCAGTAAGAAGAGAACGAGCATGACCACCCTCATCAGAACAGCAAATCAATTTGTGCAAGCAGCGGAAGAGGACCTGGCTTCTGGAGCAGTCTGTCCCACACCTTCCCTTTTAGCTCTGGAAGCAGAAGACAATGTGAGAATGTGATGGAAGCTGGCCTTCATCTTGTTCTTCCTATTCTGATTTAAAATTCCTTCATTGACTATCAGAGGAAGATCCTTTGAGAAACACCAAGAGAGAAGCTCCATTCGAGCAATAGATCTCTATGGATAGTTATGCTATGATTAAACAAAATACAATGATTCACTATGTCAGAGAAATTGATAGAGAGAAAAAGGGGAGTCAACAAGTATTTTCCTTGGTATTTACATCTCATATATACAGAATATTTCCCCTCAAACTTACTACAAAATTCCCTAACCTTGCTCCATGCTATAAAATATTTTCCCCAACCAAATATGCTTTGGTACACCTATACAACTATATTTCTACTGACCCATGTTTAAATCTGATTCAAACTACCCCCCCCCCCCCCC